ACATTGTGCTATGAACGTCTAATCCTCTGTTTTCCTCAAGAATTATTGAGGGTGGCACATCCAAAAAAGCTGGGTAAATAACTTTAAAAAATGCACAGAGCACAGTCCAGTGGCATAACCACTGGAAGCTCTTGAGGACATGGTACTAGCGCTCTGGGCCACAGAGAAGGAAGTCGTGACTCTGCCAGCTCAGAAGAGGAGATATCTCAACTTACAGAGACTTTTGTTCCTAAACACTCTCACAGCAGCCTTAATGACACTAGTGACACAGAAAAGCTGCACACGAAAGAGAAACACATGTGTACTTCCTTCCAGTAACAAGGCTGATATAATTTTATCGTCAAAGTTCTTAGCCAGCTAAGAGTAGAATTGAAGTCATCTAGGAATTCAGATGCACTGGACTCTGCATACGCAGCAACACAATCTACAAGCTGAGTAACCTTGGATGACACACTTAAGGTGTATAAGTGTGAGTTTATTCCTTTGGCGAGAGGGGACAATTATAGTACTTAACATAGAGAGTTATTGGGAGATTATAAATGAAAAATATCAGTGATGAGTGCAGGGCCTATATCACACTAAATCCTCAGTAGATTAAAGATTTCACTGCATTGCATTTACTTTTTGCATTCCACGGGTCTCCCAACTACCTCAGTCCATCCATCCATCCACCCACCCACCCACCCATATATTCTCCCATTCAGGTGATTACTACCCTCTGTCAGTTACTTCTTAGGTATTGGGGATATAGAGAGCACAAATCATTGTCATTTCTATCACAAAATTGTGAGTGTTGAAGAAGGTGACAGATATGTCCACATGTATTTAGGGTGGATGACAATCAAGGCTGTGATGGGCCTACGTTTACTCAAAGAGTAAATCACTCAGTGAGGGAAAGGGCTGTGCAAGTGCTTCATGGAGAAAACCCTGAAGTTGGATTTTGAAAGTGAGTAGGAATTTTCTGTCTGAAGAAGAAAGGGAGGTGGAGATGTGGGACACCGAAGCACAGCATGGGCATTACTCAGACTTAGAGAGCAAGGTACATTGGGGGAAAGGAGAAATGGCCTGCATGCTGGAAGCTGTACAATACTGTGGCCTGGGGACCCAAGCGGAGAAAGGTAGAGTGGAGGCCAGGCTTGGAAGGAGCCTTGCATATCAGGCAATGGTAATATTTGGATCCCATGAGTGTGCCCTTCTTCCTATAGGTTCTTGCTTCTGACTGGATAAATGTGTGCCTATGGGGTAATAATAACAATGATAATAACAACAATAATAATAATAGGAAGAAGAGGAGGAGGAGGAGGAAGGGCACATGTATTCAGTGTGTATCTTTTGCCGAGCTCTGTCCTAAATGCTTTGTAAGGGTTATCATATTTGATCCTATGGAAACCCTTGGGAGAAGATACCATTGACAGCTCCTCATCAATCAGCATAACCATGGCTGGTCTTCATGGGACGTATTTTCTAAAGACCTGAGCAAATGTTAAATTACTTAACTGACAAATAATGTAACATGGCTTGCACTAAAGAAATACATATTTTTGTTTTTTAAAAAAATTATTTTAAAAAACGAAAGATTTTGATTTTAAAGAAATGACATATTTTTGTTGTGGCGGTTGTTTGTTTTAAGATGGAACCTCTAATGTGGGCCTGATGGCTGATGTCTTATCTTCTGAGCGCAGTTATAGACCCTCCAGGGTGCAGTCACTGTTATCTCCCCGCAAAAAACTTCACTTCAAGATCTGGAGAAGCCCTCAATCTGGGCAACAGAGTATAAAGAAAATGTTCTAGGTAGGGGGAATGACACGATCATATTTAGTGTGTTTTCAAAAGCTCACTCACCATGAGTGTGGAAAATGGGAATGTGGGTGATAGGGCTGATGAAGGGATCTGGATGAGGGATAAGGAAGCCTCAGCTTCACCAGGGGCATGAATCAGTAAGCAGGAAATGGGCTCCTGAAGCTCTGGCCACATGGGCAGGATCTTGATGGCAGTTCCAATCCTACCCTTTATTGAGGGTAAACCATGTTCCAGGGACTGAACCAAGCATCTCTCAGTATTATTTGATACACACATGTGAGGCTGGCATTATTAGTACTTTTTTTACAGAATAGGAAACTGAGGCTGTGCACAACTCTTATTATTTGCCAAAGATTAGTTGGCCAATGGTAGAAGGAAAAGTCAAATAGAAATTCCAGCTTTTAAAGCCACTATCTAAACTGCAGGAGCCTCAGACAGCTCTTCCTCATGTCTGAAGAAATCCTCCCTTTCTTATTTAAATACCAACTTCTTTTCACTGCCTGTGGGACACTGGGGAGTGGCTACTTAACAGCTGCCTCATAAACCCTTGTCACCAACGCAAAGGCAGCAATTAAGTTCCCCACTAGCCTTCCGGTGTCTAATGAGGGATGATGCAGTTCAGCATCCACCAGGCCTCTCAGGAGGAAGCCATAGTGCCGAAAACACATTGGGGCTGCTCTGTAACCATGTGCTCAATTCCGTGACACTGGTTTTCAGCTACCCATCCCATCTGCTGGGAACCACTGGGCACTGCAGACTGGGCGTGCAGCCTAGTGAAGCAGAGAAGGGCCAGGTGCTTTCACTCTGGGCCAGAAGCCTGACAGCCATCTCAGTGGCAGGGAGAGGAAAGACAATGGAAGAACGAGATTTCAGATCATTCTGTTTGGGATTTTTGATGGTTAGTGCAGGGTAAGGGAGCATTTCTAAAATTATGTTTCTGAAGATGCTTCTGTTCTGCAAGATGTCAATAAATGTTGCAGGGGAAAAACAGAGTCTGTCGACAAGATGGCATCGTAGACATTGAGTTAAACAAAGCAGCTCTGTTTTTAGTACTGCAGGACTTCCCAGAGATTTTCACAGACTAAAATCCATTCAGAAAACACCAAGGGGAAGACAGAACACACAGACTTTCCAAAATTTTGTTTTGACCATGGAGTTCTTTTGTCCATGAAATCTTGATGGCCTGTGGTGAATGAGTTTGGAAGAGCAAGGTGAATTTAATGCTACTCTTAATCCTCTCTTGCGACATCTTATCTAATGGTGGCAGCAAAATCACATCACAGTGCTTCTGAGTGGTTTTGTTAGTTGTTTTAATAGCATCTACTTGAGCATGTTTGATGTGCTACTTGTCAGTAAGTCTGTCTACAGGAGAAATAAGATACTCTGGAAGCTCTGGTTCAGCATGGATCCCTTTGACATCACTGGTTTAAAATTTATCCAACTGAGTCACTTTCCAGCGATCTTTGATATTAATACATTCACTCCACAATTATTCATAAAGTATGTTCTATGCATTAGGTTTATAAACATGGAGCATATATTTGAGAAGGAAGATGGTAATTGAGCAGAAAAATAATTTTGGACTAAACAACTAGTTCTACTGAAGACATACAATGGTGCATGTGTGATGTAATGGATAGCAGCAGGTCCAAATTGGTCCAAACCTCTGATTGGGTAGTCATGGGAGATGGTGCTGAGGAGCTCATATTTGAATTGAGACCTGAAAGGTGAAAGGAGCTGGCCAGGAGCACGATGCTGTGTGAGGGGCGGCACAGAAAGAGACACAGAAAGGGAAAGAATAGCAGGTCTCAGGCTATAAAAAGAAAATCATTAGGGCCCAGGATTTAGCTCAGTGGTTCCGCCACCTCCCTTGCAAGCGCAAGGTCCTAAGTTCAATCTCCGGTACCAAAAAAAATAAAATAAAATAAAGAACCATTAGCTGTGTTCTTGGAACATGAAGGAAGCCAATTTGGCTGGAGCCCAAGAAAATGAAATGTGAGTGTTGTTACAGAAGGCTGCAGGAGCCAGATTCCGATCTGAGAGGGTCTGCAAGCCCTGGGGCACAGCTGGGATTGTCCTCTGAGAAGAACAGGAGACTATCAGAAGATTCTAAGCCGGAAAATGATCTCTGAATTTTTGTTTCTAAAAATGTTACTCTGGCTGTGCTGCGGTGACTGAATCACAAGGAAAATATAATTGAAGGAGAAGATAAGAAATGACTGTGGTCATTCTTGTGGCAAAAAGAGAGAACAAAATTGATATACATTGAGGAGATACCCATGAATTCCTTTGTGCATCAGTTCTCTAGACTCATCAAACTTGTAAATTAACATAACTTGATTTCTAAAGACTAGATCAAGTCATAGATGTTCATTAATATCACTTTGAAATTCTGCTCTAACAGAGTGGTAAAAAGTGAAGGCCAAATTTTCCGCAATGGCATTGTTTGTAATGATGAAATATTAGGAACCACCCAAGTGCCTAATGCTACAGACTTGCTTAAGAAAATTATGGTGTATAACATGAGTATTTTTGAAAAATTCAGTGACAAAAAATGTTAGAATATAATACTAAGAAATGAAATCGGATTCATAGTGAAAGGGGGAGGTTATAGACACGCAGTCAAGTACATTTATGGGGTTGGTATGTGTAGGGAGGACACAGAAGGGGAATTCTTAGTGACCATTAAGGAATAAAAATGGTGACGCGAGGCTGAGTGGAAATTTGAGGGACTCTGAAGGCTCACATGGAAAGAAACATAAGAAGGCATTTTTTTTCAGTTTCTGGTACATGCTACCTGGTCTGCATTCAGCATTTCACTAGCTCCTCACAGAAAGCTTCTAATGTAAGGATCTCATTTTATGGAATAGAAAACCGAGTCTTAGAGTAACACCAACCCCAATTTAAAGAGCATCTACTCTGTGCAGGTTCTGGTGGTAGAAGCTTTTAATAAATTATCGCTAATCTTCTCAATCAGTCTAAAATTTGGACCATCTATTCTCATTCTCAGAAGAGGCAGGTGGGATTTGGAGAGGTAAATGCTATTGCCAGAGGCACAAGTCTGCAATCTCCAAGGGAATTTTCAAGGAAAAATTAGCAGGAGTTCTGCTATCAAGGGGAGCAAAGAAAGACTTTCCAACGTCGCCTTCAGAACCTTGAGACAGCCTGCTGTTTCCGACCAGGGTGCCAGGAAGGCCTACCTCGAGACTTGCTCCTTCGCTTCCGCTTCCCTGCCGACGAGGTGCGTGGGGCTGGCTGCAGCTGACCAATCTCGATGGGTATGTTTGTGCGGAAACTCTCCTTGAACTTCTGCATCAGGGACTCCACTGTCTCCTGCGTCGCCTCAGCTGCTGCTACAGGGTTGCAATGGGGCTGAGATTAGGGCTTGACCCACCCATAGACCCTGGAGAACTGGGCCTGGCCACCTTGAGACTGAAATTTCCTCCCTGACCCACTGAAGATACAGAACCACAAGCCCTTGGTCTAGGCACAGGTGCAATGTTGGCTTCTTTATTCATTTATTCAACACTTACTATGGTATATTCCAGGCACTTCTCTTGGCACTTGGGATGTGGTGTAAAAAATTATGGAGACTCTGTATGTTTCAAGTGATTCATACTTTGATAGGACACATATCCAGACAATTCCAAAACTGTCCAACACTTCTGTAACAGCAGAATCTGGATTTCTAGAAGAGTACCAAGAAGGGCCATCACATTCATCTAGTGAGCTAAGGCAGGCTTCCTAGAGGAGGTAATGTCTAAATGGAGACTCTAAGGATGAGTTGGAACTATCAAAGAAAGCAAATCAGGCTGGGGTTGGAGAAGAGATGTAGGAACAAAGTTTCTTGGGGAAGAGAAGTAGGATGTGCCTGAAGCCAGAGAAACTATGGTTTTTTGAATAATGGAAAGTTTAATGTGGCTGCAATGGAGCTTGTAAAAAGGAGGTTGAAAGAAATGAAGCTGGAGAAAAAAGGACATCTTGAAAATCACATTTAGGACCTGACGGAAAGCATTATCACTGAAAGGCTTTAAACAGGAAACTGAAATGTTCAAATTAAATTACTTTGTTAACAATTACTAATTGCAGTGTGGAAAATGCAAAATAGAGCCAGTAAAGGAGACCAGTACTGAGGCTTTGAAGTTGCCAGCCAGAGCCAATGGTGACCTGAAGCAGTGAGGGTCACGTGGGATCTTAATAGGTAAAACTACAGCGCTGTCGATATATAGATCACTAAGCATTGTGCCTCCATTTCACTGAGGAAAACACTGAAGCCTTCAAGCCAGCCAATGGTAGAGTCAACCCTTTTAATTTCTAGTGTGATGCTTCATTTGCAACAATTCCCTACAGTGATTTTGGTAGTAGCCACATTTTCACAAAGTTTCAAAACTGAGACTGGTAGGGAGATACAGTAAATGAAAAAAGGGAGGTCAGAAAGGCAGAACAAAAAAGATAGAAGATAAAAGGAAAGGGGACAAAAACAGCAAGGCTTGACAAAGAAGGAATGAAATAACATAAAAGCCAAGGAGAGGAATCCAGAAAGAAGAAAAGGGAAATTGCTAAATGGCTGCAGTGCTTTGTTCTGAGAAATTCCCTAAGAGAGCCCTAACTTTGAAATCTTCAAACTCAGCTCTCCCACTATCTATGTCTCCAGAGGCTAGGAAATTTCTTCTTCAGTTTGAGAAACTTACTGTCTGATGCCAGAAGACAGCCTGCACCAAAGACTTCTATTTCTTTGAAAGGGCTTCACCAGATTGGACAAAGGAGGCTTCAGAACACCCAAACACCCACTGCTAAGGAGCTCTTGTTTCCCCAGGAGAGCTTATCAGTGTAGACAGGTATGTGTTCAATGTAAGTCAGATCCAGATTGCAGATGTGGATATTACGTTCTATGAGAAGACCCACCTGGAGACACAGAAAGAATCTTTGAATGCTAGGAGAAAGATAACTGAAGATGCAAAGGACTATTTGGTGGCATTCTAGCATCCTCACTGGCCTCTCTTGCTGTCCTCTCCCCAGATATCTCACTAGCTCCACTTGCAGGTGATCCAAAAAAGATTCCACATGTGGGCTGCCTACTGCTGCCTGTGATGAAGAACCCTCCAGGAAGAGGTCACACTATGAATCTGTGTCACACAAAATTTGATTCCTTAAAGAGACAAGAGTGATTTGCCCAGAATTTTAAGAAGAGGGTTAAGCTATTGTCAAAAGTCCAGAATCTGGAACAAGAAATGGTCTAAAATCTTGAAAGGGAGGGACTCTCACAGGCTTATCAGCATTCATTCGTTTATTCATTCCTTCCCCAATTTTCCATCCCATCATTCCACAGCATTTTCAGAAAACCCATTTTGTACCTGGGCTGTACACAAGCCATATGTCAGTCATAAGAAAATACCATAGACTTGTTGGCCTAAACAGAAAATGTTTATTTTCTTGCAGTTCTGGAGACTGAAAGGACAAAGTCAGCGTGCTATTAGACTAAGATTTGGGTGAGAGTTTTCTTTATGGCTTTCAACAGTCACTTCCTCCCTGTAATTTTGTATGGTGTAAGTCAGGGAGAGAGATATGTCTGTCCCTCCCTCTGTTTAATAGGCTATAGTTAAATCAGATAAGGACCCCTCCTGAAGAGCTCATTCTATCTCCCATACTTCCTGAAAACCATATCTCCAGATACAGTTTGCTATGAATTGAACTGTGTACACCTCATCCTCCTTTCATATAGTAAAGCTCTAACTCCTAACTTGAATATGGAGATAGGATACTTAGTCCTATGAGAACATAAATGAGGCCAGAAAGGTGGGGATCTGATCTGATGTTTTCTGGCTTTATAAAAAGAGGGAGGGAGGAAGGGGGGAGGGAGGAAGGGAAAAGGGCGGAATGGTGAAAACATAAAATCCCCTCGCAATGCTCACCACATAGAAAGGATGGCCAATACTAATTAGTAATTTACATAGGAATATAAAGTTTACAAGTGATAAGTACTATAAAGGAAAGGTGAGGAATAACATGAGACTACGACTGCTGGGCATAGTGACACATGCCTGCTGAGATCCCAACACATGAGAGACTGAGGAAGGAAGATCATTGTGAATTCGAGGCCATCCTGGGCTACATAGTGAGCTCAAAGCCAGTCTACATAGCTAGATTCTGTCTCAAAAACAACAACAACAAAATGAGCGTAAGGGCTGGGGATTTAGCTCAGTGGTTCCAGTGCCTGTCTCACAAGCACAAGGTCCTGAGTTCGATCCCTGTTACCAAAAAAACCCAAAACAAAAAAAGTGAGCCTATGACCTAGTCCAGGCAAAGAACAGAAACTTGCTTTGAGGAAGCAAGCAGTGTGACTAAGTTCTGAAAAGAATAATCAGTTGGGAAGGTAAGGTGAGGGCAGAAAAGAGAGAGAACATTCTATTCAAAGACATTTGGGAGAAGGAAGTGGACTGGATTTCAATTGCCCACTGGGCCTGAAACACTGAAAGCAAGTGAAAGGAGATAAGCAGAAGAAACAGGAATCCCGACCTTAACCCTAAACCTTATCCTTACTCTTTGAACACTGTTAAGGACAGATGGTGCTGAAGGTTTTAGGTTGGAGAGTAGCATGATCAGATTTACATTTAGAAAAGATTTTCTAGCAGAAGAGAGAATAATTCATTGGAGAAAAGCAGGAATGTAAGTGAAAAGACCAACCTGGAAGATAAGAGTAGCAGTATGCAATGATTGGGTAGGAGATGACAATAGCCCGGAATAGTACACCTGTGGTGAAGATAGAATTGTAGAGTGAATAAAGGCAGAAGTACAAAAGCAGTAGAGACTGAGACCTGGGCAAATTTGAGAGTTTCATTTTACAGGTAAAACACCCTCAGGATGTGGTGACAACTAAGAAAAGGTAAGCAAAAGAGAGAAGGATTGAGCTTCACTCCTGGTCTTTAGTTTTGCAAAGCTGCTGAATTTTTGTTCTTAATGAGAGGAGAACCACTATTGGAGTCCACATTGAATAGGAGTGAACATGAGCTTCATTTTAGATATGGAAGCTTGCTTGTTCCTTTGGGACACTGAAGTGGACATATTCTGTGGAGAGTGAGAGAGCTGGACTCTGTGGAAACCATGCATGCATCCCTTGAAAGAGATACAGAGGAAGTAAGTGTAACAGCTACAAACATGAACTTGATCTGGGCTGATTGTTCTCCATTTGCACCCTCTGATTCGTCTTCCTTCTGCCACTAGTGCTCATTCTGCCTCACTGTTACTTAATTATGGGACAACAACTAATTAAGTAGAGAAATACCAACCAGATTATTAAAGCACACTTTTGGGTGTGTCTGGGTAGGTCATGGAGGTGTGACTTTGGGTACCACATATGGTCACTGGGCCCTTCCTCTGGGCATTGTTTACCTGCTCTGTTTCTCAAGAGCTAAGCAATTTTGCTCCACCGTGCCCTTGTGCAGTGATATTTCTATGTTGGAGCCAGCTGACTAAGGACTAAACTCCTTGAACCCATGACCCAAATTACACCTTTCATCCCTTAAGTTGTGGGGGTTGAGTGTTGTGTCCCTGTGATGGGATGCTGACTCATACAGGAAATCGATACCAGAGAAGTAGGTATGACGGTATGACGGTAACCTAGAAGCCTTTGGAATTGGCTTGGAAAGGTTCAGAGAGCTGCACTATGTGAGTCTTTAGAATGTTTAATCAGACCCTGGTGGATGATTATGGTCAGAGCTCAGAAGATCAAAACATTAATGGGAATGCAGACAGCAAAAGCTAGGCTGAGGAGGTTTCAGCTGGGAACAGATGGTTTGGCTGACAAGTGAACTCAAGGCCATGTATGTTACAATCATACAAAAAAAAAATTCATCTACATTTTGTCCTTGTCCTGAGATTTTGCAGGAGACTGAGATTAAGGTCAGTGGACTGATGGATCTGGTGAAGGAATTTTAAAGACAGCCCCAAATCAGGCTGTTGTAATCACTCTGCTAGCTGCTTTCAGCCAGATTTATAGTAAGAACCATGGACAAAAAGCAGAGCAGAAAATCTGAAATATTTACATTTTGGCCCAAAAGAAACCACATGTAAATTTGAGGTCAAATGAGGTATTTCTCCTTAAGAGATTAGTACTATTAAAAACAAACAAACAAAATAACAAGTATTTTGCACAGGGACAAGAAGAAAGATGCCTTGAGGGTATCTCAGATATCAGAAAGACTCCACTCACTGCAATCTCAAGGATACAAAAGTATCAAGCTTTCATTTGAGAAGAGAGTCCCTGGGAACCCTGGTTGACAACAGCCAACTGAGAACTGGTTCCCAAGGATTCCTTTCACCATAGTGAGTCATTCTGGAACTCAGAAGTCACTGC